ATGAAGGCACACTTTAACACTGACATGTATGACATTGTGCAAGTCTGTGCTATAAAAAACTTAAGCATTTGATACAAGTCCTGGATTTTAGAATCCTGAAAGCATCCCTCTTCCCTTGTTAGCCTTCCCTTCCTCGTCACCCCAGTGTTCATCATACACATACATATTCAGGCGTATTATTTGGACATCCTTTTTGCAGTAAACATTTAAGTTTATTGTTGATTAAACATGCAGTTTATTGTGGATTATTGAAGCAAATTAAACTGAAGGAAGAACACTTAAAGAACGCATGATTTAATAAATACTGATCTGATGAGGGCATGCTAATGTTTGGTAATACTGCATCATGATTTTTCCAGTCCTGTTTGTACAGCCAGCAGTACAGCTGTGGTGGTGATGATGCTCATGATGGCTTACACAGTGCAGACACTTTCATTAACAACTCTCGGATTTTTTTCAAATGTTTCTTTTAATGGATGGGAAAATTTATTTTTGGCCTTAAGTTTCTCATGTTGCTTATCTTTCTGAAAACTATTTTTTAATTCCATAAAGGTGGGTGAAAATTCTGTGCTCAAGTTTTGTTTGTTGGGGTTTGGGGTTTTTTAATTATCAGAGTGAAAAGGCTGTTGCTCATATGTGAAGAAACTTTATATATACTTTGTATGTATATTGGCGATACGAAAATGAGTTAGGAGATTCTGATTTGAGGTAGGATTGCTGCTTCTGCTTGGTTCCTACTGCAGTCATACCAGTCTCAATATACTGGGTGATATATAAAGGGATATAAAAAAGAACTTCTACCCCAAAGACCTTGGAAACAGATTTAAAAGAGGACTTGGATGTTTGAATCAGGCTTGGATAGAATTTAGTCGCTTTTCTTCATGCATGTTTCGCTGAAACAGTCTGAATGTGGAAGTGTCTGCAAATGTGTAGGTGACTCCATTTTAACCACTAAAGTTCCCTAGGTACCTAAGCTTCTGTACCCAGAGACACTAAGTCTGTTTTCAGAGGTCTTAGTTGTTTAGCATTCAGCTTATGCACTTCGAGGCCATCAACTTTCGGACTTAAAATTCTTGTAAGCATGCTGTCAGTGCACTTACTAAACACAATGATAATCAAGATGTCAGTGCAGAGCTCTGCAACCCAGCATACCTGCATTCATAACTGTGGCCAAGAGGAAGAAGGTTTACCTTTTTACATGTTAGGTCAAGTGGTCACATCATTCACAAGTGATCAGGAAGCCAAAAGCCTTTACTATGAGATGCCACGTCACCAGTCCCTGAGCATGATTAGGTTGGGGCACTTTCTTCTTGTAGGAGCTGAGCATTGTGGAACCACTGTGCAGCTACTGTGCCACTTCCGTGGATCCAGATCCATTTCATTTTCGTGAATCTGCATGTATAAGAGAGGGAGGATCGTGCAGTTTATTACTTGTAATTTGACACAGCTCTGTGATACTACGGCATCTCTTCACTACGAGAGTGGGAAGACACGGGCACAGGTTGCCCAGAGAAGCTGTGGCTTCCCCGTCCCTGGAAGTGTTCAAGGTCACGTTGGACGGGACTTTGAGCAACCTGGTCTAGTGGAAGTTGTCCCTGCCTATGGCAGGGGCTTGGAACTGGATGATCTTTTAAGATCCGTTCCAACCCTCACAGTTCTATGATAGAGAGCAGATTTGAACCCAGATGCAAAATTTTGCTACTGCCTTTGTGCATGCTACTACTGTAGTGCACACATAAGCTAGTTTTTCTTTCCTGAATGTTGTGAAATTTTCTGTATAACAGTAACTAACTAAAAATGTATTCTCCTTCACACTGGTGTTGTATTTTATGGTAGTATAAAAGGTTATGATTTCAGAAATGTATATTTATTTAGTGTAAACTGCATAGAGAAGCACAGACATAAAAATAAGTAAATGCTTATGAACAAATTACTAAGTAGAAGCTGAACAGTGACTTTGTCTTCATGGGAGTTGAAATTCATATAGCTTATTAATGTACGTGGTATAGTTGCAAATTTATATAACTATAATGTAACTAAATGGCATAATAGTCAACTAGTTGAATGTCCATACTGGATTATTTACAAAGGCATATGGAAGGCATACAGGGATCTTTTTCAGCTTAAGCTTGGATAGGACTTGTTACTGGAAATGTGTGTGGCTTCTGCCAAAACCTCGCTTCCAGTTCTGGTCACTGTAAGAAGTAACAATTCTGATGGAATGAAAAGAACTGAGTAGGGGCATTAAAGAAGTACTGATATTTCATGGCATTTGAAGAAAGTGAAATTGGGTGACTAGTTTTGAACTAAATTCTGAATTGCTGCTTGGTAGATACTCTTTGGTCACTGAAGCTGAGTGGACTACTGTCTAGCAGAGTTTAGTTTTGTGCCTGTAGCAGTAGCACAAATTTTGAGTGCATGACTGCAGTGAGATTTATACAACCACAGAAAATATGACTAGACAGATTTCTACAGGAAAGCCCAATCTTTTGCTGTACAACAGTGTTACATATTTTTTTGTGGGGGGAAGGGAAGCAGAAACACCTTTTTTTTTTATGAAATAGAGTAGTGTCAACTGGCACTTCTGTATTTTATTTTAATACCATGTTTATTGTGTAACTTGCTAATCTTTTCAGCACAAACAAATATGCTTTTCATTGTATTCATACGGGGTTTGATTTTTGGGGAGATCTTCAGCTGGTAACTTTATTGTTGTGCACATTTCTGAGTAGCTGACACCTCTGTGTCTGGGGTTTGTTGAGAGAATGTAAAGCTCTTCTGTTGCCTTCGCTGAAATCCAAACTGTTCCTTTATTGTTCTTTGTGTCAATTAATATCCACATCTCTTCAATTCTCTATGCTGAAATTTTCAAAGCTGCCCCACAGCTGAAGAAGCCTCAACTTCGCGCAATCGCTTCTCTTGCACTTACCACCTCTGTGGCAACATTAAAATAGGAACAAGGCACAAAGCATTTGCTGCCAAAATATCTAAATGAGAAACATCGTTGATAATCTTACAGTGATGCAAAAATAGTGAGAATGTGTGGCAGGGAAACCTTCAAATTCAAGTATTACTCAACTTCCATTCATCTGCAGAGAGCGCAAAGCCTCTATTACCTGTCTTTGAATCTGAGTGTGATGATGCTTGGTTTCATTTCACTTTGCCTGAGTTTTCCTTGAACAAACTGATGTTAGTAGTTGAAATTCTAAGCATCAAAGCCATTTATCATTTCAGAAATACTCATATATCTCTACTCAGTCTCCCTAGATTTATCCAGGGGTGTTGGGCCTGCAGTTTTTTTTTTTTTAATTATTTATTTGCTTCAACATCAAAAGGTCATTCAGGTCCTTTAAAAAGACTTTCCTGAGCTTAATCTTGACTATACTGGTGTCGTGGTTTAAACCCAGCCTGTAACTCAGCACCATGTAGCCATTCACTCACCCCACACACACACTCCATTCCTCCTTCTGGGCTGGATAGGAAGGAGAATTAATTGAAAGAATGTAAAACCCACAGGTTGAGATAACAACAATTTAATAACTAAAATAAAGTAAAATATACTGATAATAGAAAGAATACCAATAATAAGAATAGTAATACTAGGAAGCAACAAAAGAAGAAATGAAAGCTTGGAAAGTGATGCACAATACAGTTGCCTGACCCCAGGAGCAATCAGTGGCTCCCAGCCAACTCCCCCCAGTTTACATACTGGGCATGACGTGCTGTGGTATGGAATACCCCTTTGGCTAGTTTGGATCAGGTGTCCTGTCTCTGCTTCCTCCCAGCTTCTTGTGCCCCTCCTCATTGGCAGAGCATGAGAGACTGAAAAGTCCTTGATCAAGGTAAACATTACTGAGCAAGAACTAAAACATGAGTGTGTTATCAGCATTGTTCTTAGACTAAAACCAATGCACAGTGTAGCACCAGCTACTAGGAAGAAAAAAAACAAAACAACTGTTACAGCTGAAACCAGGACATCTGTGCAGCTGAGTTCTGTGGATGCTGTGGCTGGCCTAGCATGGTCTGGGAGCAGAGAAGCTAGGAGTACCATCCTGCGAAGAAACCGGTGTCTGTATTTATAGCCTGGGAGCCCCTATGGTGGGTGTCCCTGGCAATGCTTGGTAGGAGGAGAGAGGTCTTATGCTGGGGAGTTCTGAACCCTTGTAGATCAAATTAATTTATGACATTATACTAAATCTGGATGCCATTATGCAGCCAGTGCAGATTAAGGACTAATAGTGACTTGAGTTTCCGTTATATAGGCAGGCTTCTGCATTTTATGTGTTTTACTTTTTCATCTTGACCTAAAGTTTCACTCCATTTTAGTAATCCAGGCTTGCAAAAGCATGGTTTATGATTGTAAAAGCATGGTTTATGATTTCAGTACCTGCAACCAGATAAATGGCTGCAATTCTGTACGCGTAGGATGTAGAAAATAACCCCTCATGCTACTGCTATACCTATACATCCAGCACAATCCTCATTCAGGTGGCAAAAATATTCCCTTCTTTAATAAACCCAGGGTTTATTTGATATGATGGCAAAATGAAAACACACACCTCTTTTTACAGAAATAGGAAATTCATGATTTAAAACAAGTAAAAATCACACCAACTTATTACCATTATAAAAAGGTAACTGGTGGTTCCAGAGCCCTTAACACAATGGAGAACTAGATGTATAGTTTTGAAATGGAGTGATGTTTGATGGTAGGCTTGTCCAGTGTTAAAAATAAATGTGGAAGCCTGCATAAAAAGTAAAATTTTATTTATCCATATTTTTATCGGGCAAAAAAATTTGCTTGTTGGTAGAAGTAGCTGGCTACATCAGCTGCAGCATATATCTATGCCACATCGATTCTAAGCATTTCCCTTATTGCAAGCATTTCTGTAGGTTACTATGAATAAACATAAATACCGATTTGTACGAGTTGCCCTTCCACTGACACAGAGATATATTACCTTACTTTGGAAGTCTGTACACCCTTCTGCTTTGCATAGATGGCTAAAGGAGATGCAAGACACCCGTCTTTGGAGAGGCAATTTAGAGGAGAGAAAAAGGTCTTTGTGCAGTTCTACAGCCTAGCCTGGATGTAAGTAGGGCTGAATTTGGTCCCAGTTTTATTCTTTGCACTTTTTTAACAAAATAAAACAGAAAAGCCCTTTGGTTTTAGTATTAAACTTTTTTTTTGGTAATAAACAAAAGTATATTTCTAACTTGCTGCTTTAGCCTTGCTTTTACTTTTTCATTATTTGTCCTCTAGACCTCACTATTTCTACACTCTTCCCTTTGTGCTTTTTATAATAAAGGGATACTCCCAAAGAATATTGCCTGGCTTCTTATGCTAATCTCGCTTCTATTTCAGTTCATGTTGACTTGGAGAATATGCCTTGTAAATAGGAATACCAACTGACATACTAAATATAATCCTTAGTTTCTAAGCATTGATTGTTTTCACAGCATCCTTAAAGGGTAAGCTTCCTTACTATCCAAATATCATGGCTGGGAAACTGAGGCTCACAAAGTCTGTATGACTTATGTGAAGCCACAGAGGGAATAAATGTTGGGTTTAGAATTCCTAGCTCCTGTTCCTGTGTTTGGATTCACCCCGTCTCGCAAAGAAATACTTGATTCCTGCTAATATTGCATGCCTTTCTGTGTCTGTTAATGTAGCCATTCGAAAAGTAGCTGGTACTCAATTCTCTCTCTGTCTGTCCTATTGAAACTAATGAATGCCTGCAGGCAGGCATAAGGTATCGTTACCTTTGACAGCCAGTATGTTTTATGTTTTAAATTATGTGTTAGGCAGGATTTTTGGATACTAATTTGATATAATGAGATGCGCTTCTAATATCAACCCTAGTTCAGGAAGGCCTTGCAGCCAGCCTACTCTTTATTTAAAATTATTCCATTTCAGATGTCCTAATGAGTGCTGTGAGTTGTGTAATTCTTTCATAATTTTCCCACATCCCCAGAAGGGAACTGGTGGCTGGAGTTTTTTCTGGTTTTGTTTTGGTTTATTTCAAATTAGGGTGAGTACAGAATAAAGATCTGGGGGAAGAGTTTTGTGAAGCAGTTGCTACTGTGAGAATGGCAATTAAGAAAGAAAATATTATAGTCTACAACAGTTAGTGTTAAGGCAAGTCTCAATGCCTCTGCTGTTTGCCATTATCTTATAAATATCTTGACTCTGACTTTACAGTGCTGTTTATAGAATTTAATAAAGCAAATGTAATAATGCTGCCTGTGCTTTAATGCGCAATCTCAATTGAGTTGACCAGAAGATAAATAGGAACAGGAATGATAGTGCGTTCCTACAGATTGTTTTTAATAAGCATGTTATTTAGTTGATCAGCCTGGTGCAGTAATGCCTCCTATCCTGCTCTACCAGACAAATTTATTAATGCTCTCCCCCCCCGCCATTTTTCTGAGAACATTGATTCCCTGCAGACATATCTCTATTAAACCTCTAGAAAGTCACAACTTCC